AATGTATTAAAAAAATATGAAAACCTTGAACTAGTGAAGGGTGAGAGAAAGAAACCCAGCCCTCTTTGGTATCTACACCGTCATAGCTCCATTTCATGGGTGACTTGCAATCATCAGTTGTTTTTATTAATGCTTACAAGCCTATAGCCCTAAGAATGCTAACGTCTCAGTGTTAGCAGTGCACTAATATATAGATGGTTTCTCCATGAGGAAGATATTAATGATTATTCCTAAGACTGAATCCACAGCTTTTGGCTTCTCAACATCTTTTCCATTCTCCAAGTGTAAGGACCAGCCCCTGTGATTGTCATTGGTTGGTGTTAGAAACACGCTGGGATTTGATGTGAGATACTTGGAGCCCCAGAGGGTCATGCGGTGCCAAGGTAGCGCCCTTCAGATGGGAGAAGACAACCCAGATGTCCCCTCCCCAAGCTGCTCCTTCCCAGCAGGACCACAGCTTAGCCACTGAGGTGGCCTAATCCAGTTGAATGCCATTGCTCATAGTCATGTGAAGCTTTCTGGTTGCCCAAAGCATGTGCAGTGAGAGCCGTGAACCCTTCCTTCTCTCCACCTTGAGAGCAGTCATTAGCCAGCTTCCCCCCGGTAAGGAAAATTAGAAGATTAATACAGAGTTTCTGCCAGGCCCAAGGAAAATGCTGTCAGGGGCTAAATTGTTGCAAGCCTGAATGAACATTAGGGGACAGCATTGGCCAGGAGTCAGCCTGTTTCGTGCTCTTCGTGCTCTCTGTTCGCAAGTTGTCTTCCCTTGTCTAAATAATAAAGCCCCACTTGCTGCTGGCTGATCTAACTGGTGCACTCTACATCCATTTTTAATCGGACCAAATCAATTATAAATATTACGAGCTGCAATTACCCTGCGAACGCCTGAAAAACTAATTAGTACAAGTCCTAACGATGAATTACACCTTTCTCTTGGCTATTTGCAGCAGGGAAAGAAAACAAAAAGAAAAACCACTTTGCTCCGAAAGACACCAAACATCTCACAGCCAGAGCAAACAAAATTCAAGGCAGTGTTAATGACACTCACATGGTTCATGGAAGGATGGGCCATGGTGGGTTGAAAGCCAGGGCACCTGCCATTGCCTCGGGCCTAGCTCATGTTTGCTTGGGACGTGTTGCAAGATGTAAATATCCTTTGCAAGGAGTCTTTGGAAAGGGAGGTCTCATGGGCACCTGCAAAGTTCAGATCATTCTTGTTTACTGGGCAGCAACGAAGGCGGCTGACGCGATAGTGCTTTAAGCTGGAGCCCTGTTGTATCAGTGTGTAGCTGATCCCCTCCCTTGGCAAGGCCAGGGACTAAACAGGAATTCCAGCCATGTCTGGCTTTCCTTGAGCAGGGGGAGAAACCAGGCTGCTGTCTGGAGAGCTCCTGGATTGCCGAGGAGACCTGGGGTGGCCTGACAAGATGCTCTCAACACCGCGTAGCAAGTGAGTCACAACAGAATGGGCAGACTGAAAACCATCCTCCCCGGCAGCTTGTTGCTGTAGGAGCTGGTGTGCTTGCCTAAAGGCATCATAGGCATTTCATTTCTCTCCTGAAATAATGCTTTATGGAGCTATTAAAGGCAGAATTGTATTCTGCTGCCTAAGACTCATTTTTAAACTCATTACAAGATTTTGGAAGGAGTGCTCTTCTAATAAAACATATGAAGATTCCCCCTCCAGACATGTCCAGGAACTCACCAAGGACTCAAATCCTTGCTTGAGTTGAGAAAAACCTCCCTTATTTCAAGTGAATACCATAATTGCTGAGAAACTGGACTGTTAGAGATGGACAAATTATTTTTTCTCTCGCTTTCTCTTTTCACAGGGAAATGTCTGAAATCTTGAAAAATTTCAGCAAAGCCATTTTCTGCATTATTGTGTTTTTGAACTGTATCATAGACACGCATGGCTCTTCGCACGGCGCCATGCACAGCTTCCAAAAGACCGGGATAGATAATGATGGAGGGAAGATTTAGGGGAGGGGAAAATACAACTCCAGACAAGGATTATGCAGCTGCTGGGTTGCTAATTTTTTGCTTTGAAGAAAGGATAAAGATGTGTTTTTTGGTTGATGTGTCAGCACAGGGAGTCACTAGTAGCTCCATGACTAGTAGCAGTCGCCAGACTTAGAATTCTTTTTCCTCCCTGTTGGCTGCAGCTTTAACCACCCTCTTCCTGCTTTTAACCTGCAGAACTGCAGCAGGATGAGCTGACAGATCTGATAAAAAAGGAAAAAAAAATCCATTCCTTTCCCTGAAGGATCACACTGCAACTGCTGGGCCTGCCAAATGAAGGTCAGGCAGCAACCCTGAGAAATAGGTAGAGATTTCCTAAGAGGGACAGTTGCCAGTGCCCATTCTTCCCAGCATAAAAAAATAAAACACATTCTATTTTGAGCCAGTCAGTAGAATACAAGGAGAGTCACCTGCCAAACAAGTAAAATGAGAGTGAAACAGCCCATAAAAGTCTTAGGAAATTTCTAGTTTCTCTCCATGCTCTGGCTGTGTGCGCGCCGGTGAAGAAGGAGAATGTGTGGAAGAGAGATCATCTGTCATCCCCAGGTACAGCATGTGCAAGCAGAAGTACAGAGTGTATTTTCTTCTGTGCAGT